GAGGGGACCCGGGCTGGTGGAGGGGGCGCCCGGGAGCACGTGAGCCGTGCAGCCACCCCGCTCCCTCCCCTGCGGCGGGGACGGGAACCGGGGCGAGGCTGGGGGGCGGCGCGCTCACCCGCAGGGCGGACAGGTCGATGTCGTCCAGGCTGCGGGCGGGGGCTGGGTCGCCCATGGCCTCCGCCGGGAACGGGGCCCCCGGGCCGCTCACGCTCCGGCTTGGTTATTCCACTGCCGCCGTCGCCGCTTCTCCCCCATCGGGGGATCCTGGGGGCGGACTCCACCGCGCCTCCCCCGGAGACCGGGAAGGGGGGAGGGCCGGCTGGAGGACCGACCCACCGCCTGACAGAAGCTCTCGCCCGAGAGTCTGCAACCCGAGCCGCCCGACTCCCCTGCGCAGGCGCGGAACGGCCGTGCACTGGGAGGGTGGAAAAGGGAACGTGACGTGAGCGCGCCGGGTCCCCTCCCCCTAGGCGGCGACACCTGCGCGCAGGCGCAGGAGAGCAGGCGAAAGGCGCGCGCGAGGGCCGAGCAACCGCGCGATCCTGGCGTGAAAGAAGTGGGCGGCGGCCGAGGCGGCCGCTGAGCGCGCCCACCGGCTGGCGCGCGTGCGCACACGCATTTCCTTTCCATTCCCTATTTTTTGCCCTTTGTCTTCCGTGTTTCCTTCTTAGAGCTCCCTGGACGCCTTTCCTTCCCGTTCCCTACTTCTTTCGTGTGCCCAGCTGCCAATCAGGCCACCCACCTCTCTATTTGCGGGGGAAGGGGGCGGGACCCAACCCCCTCTATTACTAGGGGGGTTGTTATGGTAACTCCCCACGCGAGGGCTGGGTGGCCTCTAGATAGGACGGGCTGTCCACCCACCCAATTGCCATGGCAACAGTGGAGCCGCTGAGGGAGGGGCCTCTCGGTGAGAACTTGGCTGGAGAAACCACGTGGGAGTTAGGAGGTGGAGGGGAGGGGTCACCGGCGGTCTCAGGAATGCCCTTTTACACTTCTAGCTAGCTGAGTGGGGAGTACTGAGGAAGGGATCTCAGATCTCAGGATAAGGAATCCAACCGCAGACGTATATCTTTGCATCGCTCTTAACAAAGTGTTCTGCACAAAAGAACTGTTTCAACAATTATTCATTGATTACTGGAGTCGCGCGTGGGGGAAGGGATGGCTAAGGGGAAGAGGAGAAATCTGTTTAATCCCTTCAGATCTCTCTCGGGTCACCTTAGATCTAGTTTTCTTGACACAGTACCCCCAGCCATTAGCCTCAGTGGAGGCTGGATAGTGCTATCTAAGACAGTCATTTTCTGACAGTGACATGCTGTGTGACCTTGAGCAAGTTGTTTTGCTTCTCTAGGCACTGAATTTGAGGGGGAAGACTGTATGATCCTCAAGATCTCTTCCAGCACCAACACTATCTCTGAAAGATCCCATCACCAGCCTTAATATAAGCATCACTTACGACAGTTTGAATGGAAGATCCTTGGAAAAGAGCTGAAACGACCTATTTTCTGGACCCTTCTCTCTGACATTTGGATACGCCCCCAGTCTTGCTCTCCTCCCCACCTCAACTCATTTTCCTTGCCATCGTCCTTGTCTAAGCCGCAGTCCGCACCCATCTTCATTACTCTATCATCCTCCTACTTAGCCTCCCTGCCTGACCCTCTCTTCAATTCTTCATACCCAGAGTGATTTTCCTAAAACAAAAATTTGATGTCACTCTTCAGTTCCAGTCTCTTTACTGGCTCTCATTGTCCTCTGAATAGAGTTTAAAGTGTGGCATCAAAGACCCTTCAAGATTCTGCTGGTTTCTCCAGCCTTACTTTTCAATACTCCACTATTCAAACTTAACTTTTCCAGCCATACTGAAATACTCTGCTCACCGTTCTCAGAGCTCAACATTCTATCCCCCAGCCTTTGCACTTACTGTTTCTTCTCCCTGCAGTGTTCTCTAGCTTCTCAACCATGCCCATTCTCACTGTCCTTTGCTTTGTTCTACGTGTCTAAATTGCCTCCTCCATGAAGCCTTCCTTGACCCAGCAAAACTGAGTTTGGCTCTTTTGTCTTAGCTGGTTGACTTTAGCCCACGGTAACACTTAACACTTTGAACTGTAAATGTTTTAACACATTGAACTGTAAATGTTTGTTGATATCAGTCTTGTTCAGCACAGGGTCTGGCACTAGAGAATCAGTAACACTTAAGTTAATGAAGGTATCTGCTGTCTGGGTAGGCACTATAGTAGTTCAAGGTCAAGACCATGGGACAGTAGGAAAAAGCATAGAATTTGAAGGTAATGCTTTAGACAAATGGCTAATCTCTCTGAGGCTCGATTTTATTATCTGTAAAACAGAGATAATAATAGGGAGGTTAGGATAAAATAAAATTATGTATTAAAGAACTTGGCATATACTAGGCCCTCAATAAATGTATTAATGACTGACTCAGAAAGTGTTTAATAGAGATACTGAATGAATAAGCAAATCAAGGTCACAGGATGGAATAAATGGCCACCCAGACCTCAAGAGGTAATGAAACCTGAGGGATGAGGAGGGTAGAGAACAAGACTGGCCCCAAGTTGATAATTATTGAAGCTAGAATATGGATACATGGATATACATGGCTACATGAGTGCTCATTATCCTGTTCTCTACTTTTATATAGATTTGAAGATGTCCATAATAAAAACTTTAAAAAAGACAATGTGAGCGGGCACAGTGGCTCACGCTTGTAATCCCAGCACTTTGGGAGGCAGAGACAAGAGGTTTGCCTGAGCTCAGGGGTTTGAGACCAGTCTGGTCAACTTTGTGAGACCTTGATTCTACAATAAATAAAACAGTTAGCCGGGCATAGTGCTGCGCGCCTATAGTTCCTGCTGGATGGCCTGAACCCAGCAGGTCGAGGCTGCGGTGGCTGTAAGCATACCACTGCACTCCAGCCTGGGTGACAGAGTGAGACTCCAACTCATTAAAAAAAAGTTAAAATATTAAAAATAAGACTAATTTAGGACCTCTGGAGGATGAACAAACACGTTGTACAGGCGCAGTCGCCCTCAGGGCCTCCCACTCACCTTAGGAGCCTGGATTCTTCTCATATGGGGTCTAGAGCCAACTCTTCTAAGCCTTCTGCCCCCCCACCCCACACTGTAGTTGGCCTCCATTCAAAAAACTCCAGGCCTAAGGAGAGGAAGGCAAATAGTGTGAAGAAGAAGCCCACCTAGCAAGCCCATTTTCCATGTGGGACCACTAAGGTCCAGAGAAGTGATGTGACTCAAGGTCATCTAGCTTCTAATTGACAGGTCCAGGATCTGGACCCAGTGCTTCCTGGCATCCTGACCTAAAGCCTATACTTTTTTTTTTTTTTGAGTTGGAGTCTCACTCCGTCACCCAGGCTGGAGTGCAGTGGCACGCTCATGGTTACTATAGCCTTGACCTGGGCTCAGGTGATCCTTCCACCTCTGTCTTCCAAGTAGCTGGAACCAAAGGTGTGTGCCACCACACTCAGTTAATTTTTTGGTTTTTATTTATTTATTTATTTTAGTTGGAGTCTCACTCTGTCAACCAGGCTGGAGGGTAGTAGCATGCTCCTGGCCACCGCAGCGTCTACCTGCTGGGCTCAGGTGATCCTTCTGCCTCAGCCTTCCAAGTAGTTGGAACTACAGGCATGCGCCACCATGCCTGGCTAATGTTTTTTGTTTTTTTTTTTTTGAGTTGGAGTCTCACTCTGTCGCCCAGACTGGAGTGCAGTGGCCGCTCCTGGCCACTGCAGCCTCGACCTGCTGGGCTCCGGCAATCCTTCCACCTCAGCCTTCCAAGTAGCCGGAATTACAGGCATGTGCTACCACATCCGGCTGATTTTTTTTTTATTTATTGTAGAGATGAGGTCTTGCTGCCCACGCGGGTCTCGAACCTGCGGGCTCAGGCAATCCACTCACCTCAGCCTCCCAAAGGCGCGGGATTACAGGCTGAGCCACCGAGCCCGGCTTTGGCTAATGTTTTTATTGTCGAGATGAGGTCTCGCCAAGTTGCCCAGACTGATCTCAATCCTGCGGGCTCAAGCAATCCTGTCATCTCAGCCTCCCAAAGTGGTAGGATTATAGGCGTGAGCCACAGCATCTGGCCAATTTTTTTTATTTATTGTAGAGATGAGGTCTCACCAAGTTGCTCAGGCTGGTCTAAAACCCGTGGGTTTAGGTAATCCTCTTGCCTCTGCCTCCCAAAGTGCTGGGATTACAGGCGTGAGACACTGTGCCTAGCAGAACCTATACTTTTTTTTTCTTTGAGTTGAAGTCTCACTCCGTCGCCCAGACTGGAGTGCAGTGGCATGCTCACAGCCACCCCAGCATCAACCAGCTGGGCTCCGGCGATCCTTCTGCCTCAGCCTTCCAAGTAACTGGAACTACAGGCATGTGCTACCACGCCTGGCTAATTTTTTTTTTTTTTTTTTTTGAGTTGGAGTCTCACTCTGTCCCCCAGACTGGAGTGCAATGGCTGCTCCCGGTCACCGCAGCCTCGACTTGCTGGGATCCGGCGATACTTCCGCCTCAGCCTTCCAAGTAGCTGGAACTACAGGTGTGCACTACCACGCCCAGCTCATTTTGATCTATTGTAGCGATGAGGTCTCGCCAAGTTGGGCAATCCACTCACCTCAGCCTCCCAAAGGCGCGGGATTACAGGCTGAGCCACCAAGCCTGGCTTGGCCTATACTTTTAAACACTCCCAAAGGGGCTTCACTAAGCTTCTACCAGGACTGTCACTTGAACAAGAGGCAGCTTCTCCAAGTCCTTCATGGTGTACCTCCCTCATATGCTGTTGCAACATCAGCTCCACAGTTCTCCAAGTGCCCTGTTTGGTCCTACCCATCTTTCTTTTTTTTTTTTTGGAGTTGGAGTCTCACTCTGTTGCTCAGACTGGAGTGCAGTGGCCGCTCCCAGCCACCGCAGCCTCGCCTGCTGGGCTCCGGCAATCCTTCTGCTCAGCCTTCCAAGTAGCTGGAACTACAGGCGCGCGCTACCACGCCTGGCTAATTTTTTTTTGATTTATTGTAGAGAAGAGGTCTTGCCAAGTTGCCCGGGCAGGTCTCGAACCCGCGGACTCAGGCAATCCACTCACCTCGGCCTCCCAAAGCGCTGGGATTACAGGCTGAGCCACCGAGCCCGGCCCTGCCCATCTTTCTACCATGGCAGCACTGTATGAATACCTTCTCTCAGGAGCCAGGTGACCCAGCTTCCAAAGCCCCAGACAGGTAGACAGGTGAAAACAGGAGAAAGATAAAGTAAGGCGGAGGTAAAGTGAAGGAGACTGGCACCTCGTGTAGGCAGGGACAGGAGGCTGGGATGAGTATTCATTTCCTTCAAGGAAGATGCATGGGCCTTTTCTATGCTTTTATTTATGAAATGCTTATTGAACGGATACAAATTTAGTGTCTGTCAGCAGGCTGGTGGAGGGAGTTTGTGCCCTCCTTCCCACCCTTGGCAAGGGCTGAAACCAAAAGTGGTTTTATCCTACCCTCTTTCTTGGCAGCAATGGGCTGAGAGAGGCCCTGGTGCAGGGAGGGTGTTCAAGGGCAGAAGGAGGAAAGGAGCAATGGGGAAGGCCTGGATCAGAGGCCCCTCCTCCTAGAATAAAAAGCTTGATCCTGATCATCCTGGCAGGAGCTGTGTTTCTCCTCTGTAGCAGTGGTTTGAACTGGGCAGTAGGGAGGATGAACTTCTCTGGGACCCTCTTCTGCCTCCTCAGTCCAGGGCTGGAGTGTTCTCTTTGACTACTTCTCAAGTAAGTGTCCTCTATGACTTTTCCAGTTCCCTTCAGGGATGCCTGTCTCTCCGGCTCTCTCTGATTCAGACTCAGTCCCAGCCCAGGCATGGTGGAGCCCAGCAGCTGATAAATTCTTCCCCTCTGGGGCCCACCTCAGCTATGTCCACACTTCTAGGGGTATCATGCTCTCCTTGCTACCCAGGGGAGGCAGCAAAGATTCATCCTCTAGGAACTTGAGGGGGAAGTGGACCAGGTGGCCTTGGACCTGGGTGAGCTCAGACCGGGCCAAAGGAGGGCTGACTATGGCCAGGGGCTCTACGGTCACATACTCTCGGAGTGTCCGCAGGGAACGAGTGGCGTTGGATGGCAGGCAGCGGAAGATCTGTAGGCAGGAGCATGGAAGCTAATAAGGTTGGGGGAGACTCCCCTAAGAATCCAAGCCCAACTGGGCTGGACTCTCCCACTCCCCATACCATCTCTTGGCACTCCCCACATTGACCCTGGGTCACTGAATCCCTTGACAGCAAATGCCCCCCAAGACCCTCATCCCCCTTCTGAGAATAACTGTGTGGTGGGCCTTCTCTCCATCCTACCTTGAGCAGGATAATTCATATATGTACCCAAGTCTGCCCCCCTGAGCTCCTACCTGCTCATAAATATTGGCATTGCTCTCAGCTGTCTCTTGCCATAACTGGAAGAAGTCATCACAGACAGGGTCTCGGAGATCCATGTCTGGTCGGGCATTTGCTCCAAGAATCACGCTATGGAAGAAAGGGGTCCCAACAGGGCCAGATTAAGATTCTTAGAGAACCTGAGTACCAGAAAAGTTATACTGTCTCTACTCAGGTAATTAAAAACTAAATGAGTCGGATGTAGTGGCTCATGCCTGTAATCCCAGCATTTTGGAAGGCCAAGGCAGGAGGACTATTTGAGCCCAGAAGTTGGAGACCAGCCTAGATTCAGACTCAAAAAAAAAGCAATATAAAACAGTAAAATAACGTAAAAGGGGCTAACAGATTTCTGATTTTTATCTAGTTTGATGACTACTTTGATCTTTATTTTATTTTTAAGAAACAGGGTCTCACTCTGTTGCCCAAGTTGGAGTCCAGTGGCATAATCATAGCTCACTACAGCTTCAAACTCCTGGGCTCATGCACTCCTCCCGCCTCAACCTTCCAAGTAGCTGGGACTAAAGGTATAAGGCATGTGCCACCACTCCTGGCTAATTTTTTCTTTCTTGCTTTTTTTTTTGAGTTGGAGTCTCACTCTGATTACAGGCTGAGCCACCAAGCCTGGCTTCTTTCATTTTTTTTTTAGAGATGAGGTCTCACTATGTTGCCCAGGCTAGTCTTGAACTCCTGGGCACAAATGATCCTCCTGCCTCGGCCTCCCAAAGGGCTGGGATTATAAGTATAAGCCACTGCACCTGGTCTACTGTGATGTTTTAACAAGAAAAACAAACTATTTAAAAAATATTTTGTTCTCATATTTTTGGTGATCCCACTTTGCTGATACTCTAAATGGGATTAGTCTGCCTGCTGGGAATCTAGTACTAACTCTTTTTTTTTTTTTTTTTGAGTTGGAGTCTCACTCTGTCGCCCAGACTGGAGTGCAGTGGCTGCTCCCGGCCACCGCAGTCTCGACCTACTGGGCTCCAGCGATCCGTCTGCCTCAGCCTTCAAAGCAGCCGGAATTACAGGCATGCGCTACCACGCCCGGCTGATTTTTTGATTTATTGTAGGGATGAGGTCTCGCTGCCCAGGTGGCTCTCGAAGCCGCAGGCTCAGGCAATCCACTCACCTCAGCCTCCCAAAGGCGCGGGATTACAGGCTGAGCCACTGAGCCCGGCTTAGTACTAACTCTTAAGAGACCTTCACATAAGCTTAAAGTAGATTCCCCTCCATTGCCCACCCCCTACCTTGTGGCACCCCACCCAGGCTCTACCTGAAGCAGTGCTTCCGCAAACTCAAGGCAAACCTGCCTGCCTGATACTCCACCCCATCCATGAGGGATGGTTCCATCTCTGTATCCTCGATCAGCACAGCCAGCTCACTGTCCCGCTTCCCCAGCAAGCTCCGGTCATTGATGTTTGCAGAACCTAGGGTGAGTATGAGAGACACTGTGTCTATTTAGGTCCAAGGGCATCCTCCATTACCCTATCACCTCACTGGCCTGAGGGCAACACACCTCTTTTGACCTGTACTCCCACTCTCTGTCATTCTACCCCCTCATCCCTTTATCCTTCCCCACCTCCCCTTCACTGACAGGGGCCCAGATCCAGCACTGACCAATGATGACTGTCCGGTCATCCGCAATGAGCATCTTGCTATGGATGTAGATGAGCTCTGAGACGGGGTGCCCACCCAACTCTCCATGTGTGCGAAGCCCACAGATGGAAATATAGTCCCGCCATGCTGTCCCCACTGCATAAAAGAGAGGGGGTGAAGGGAGGGGAATGAGGCACAGGTGACTTCTGTGTGTGGACAGGGACCTGACTTACCTCTTCTTACTCCAGAAGCCCCTTTCTAGAGCCTGGTCTATATACTTCTCTGCAGTGAAAGGTTGCCTGTGGTCTGAGCAGCCTCAGAAGCATGCAAGAATGATAACATCCTTTCCCACTCCCAGGCCTCTAGCTCCCCAGTCTTGCTCTCCCAAGGGATCCAGGGCTTGAACTCCAAGCCTCCAGCACTTACTGGCTGCTTTGAGGCGATGTAGGATTGAATACTCCCCACGACACAGGGTCCTGAGAGAAAAGAAAGGGTGAGGGTGGTGGAGGCTGTGGGAGTGGGAAGGGATAGGGGAGGCTAGGAGACAGGTGGCCCCTAAAGGTCCAGCAGGGGTCAGGCGCAGTGGCTCAGCCTGTAATCCCAGCACTTTGGGAGGCCAAGGCAAGAGGATCGCCTGAGCCTGGGGGTTTGAGACCAGCCTGGGCAACTTGGTGAGACCTCATCTCTATAATAAATCACAAAAACTAGCCGAGCGTGGTGGTGTGTGTCTGTAGTTCCAGCTACTTGGAACGCTGAGGCGGAAGGTTCGCCTGAACCCAGCAGGTCAAGGCTGCAGTGGCCCTGAGAATGCCACTGCACTCCAGCCTGGGCGACAAGAGTGAGGCTCTAACCAAAAAAAAAAAAGGGGGAGGGAGGGTCTACCAGGAAGGGATCAGGAGAGTCAGGAGGGGGATAAGGGTGGGATGGGGCCATCGAGAGGTGGAGCCTGGCTGCGGGGGTCACCTGTAAGTAAAGTGTAGAATGGCCTGGATGGAATTACCACCACCTGTGGAGATGTCACCCTCAAAGCCCGGGAGCAAGGGCAAAAGCACGTAGACTCGGAAACACTGCCCCTGTCTGAGGAGAGGGTGGAGTCAGAGGTGTGATCAGTTCCTAAATGTCCCCCATTCAGTTGGGCTCAAACCACACCCGCAGTCCCCACCCGTCTAACAGTCCACCTTACTTGTGGGCCTTCAGGATTCTGTCCACAATCTCATCACCCACTTTGTTCAGAACTGTCCGCCCATCTGAGCAGCTAATGAAGAACTGATTCTGGGGTAGGGACCAGAGACAGATATCAGCAGCCTGGCCACCGCCCCTGCCCTCTGCTCCCAGCCCTAGTCCCCACTCCTAGGCTCTAAGCATCTGCTTCTGCTCCATGCTCAGCTACACCAGCCTTCAGTGACTGATCCCACTGACTTCCCAGGCCTCTCTCCTGGGACATCATTCCTTCCCCACACCTTCACCCATCAGACCTCAATGTAGAGGAAGTGCTGGCTCTCCCTGATTGTGTGCAGGTAGGCATTGAGGATGGAGTTCTCCAAAGTCCCTGCTGACCAGCGGTCCACTGACCGCAAGACCTAGGGGGATGGTGAATACACTGTGGTTCCTAACCCCAGGAGGAGTCTGGGGGCTCATGCATCAGGGAAAGTGGGCTGGAGCTCTGGGATGAAGGGAAGGAAGGGCCTGGTTGAAGTGGGGAGCCTACCTGCACAGTGGTACACTGCCCTCCTGGGAGTGTAAAGGGAAGCTGGTTTGCAGTGCTGGTGGACTTGGGCAGCAGGTAGGGGTATCTGGCTGTCTTGTACTTGACCTTGGTGGTCTGAGGTGGAGGGATGGCAGAGTCAGCATGAGATGGCAAGCTGACCCTGGCTCCCTCCCTACCTCCAGCCCCCACAAGAGGGACTGAGCACCTTTGTGAAGTTCCAGCGCTGGATGAAGTGCCGAGAGAGGTCCCGGGCGGGTAGGCCATGAACAACCACCCCAACATCCCGCCAGGGCATCCGGGGTGTGGTTTCTCTGTCAATGAAATCTGGAAGTGCCAGGAAAGTCAGGAAGAGCTCAGATACTTGGGGCAGGAAGGAGATGAGGCCCGCCAGAGGAAAGGTTACACTATCCTTGACCCATCTCATTCCATTCTCGTCTCATCCCATTCTCGGTCCCAGCCCCAACATCTGCCCCTGCTCTCAGCTCTAGGGGCTTTGGAGGAGGAAGAGCCCTTACCTTCAAAAGGCCGGTCGAGCTGCACCCAGTCCTTGGCGATAAGATTGCTGTAATCCTTGCCCAGCCAAAAGAATTGGTTGTGAGAGAGGTCTGGGGTAGCTGAAGAGTCTGGACACAGGGTGGGAGGAGGCTGCAGGGGGGACACACCCAAGCCAGGGGAAGTCATGGGGGCCAGGGCCAAAGAGAAGATAGGAGCACTGAAAGATTGTGACAGACACAGAGAGATTAAGAATGAAACAGAGAGAGCTTGATTCCCCAGCCCTCCCCTTCAGCTGTTTTTTGTTTTTGTTTTGTTTTTAGTTGAAGACTCACTCTGTCGCCCAGGCTGGAGTGCAGTGGCACGCTCACGGCTACTGCATCATTGACCTGCTGGGCTCAGGCAATCCTTACGCCTTAGCCTTCCAAGTAGCTGAAACCACAGGCACATACCACCACACCCAGCTAATTTTTTGATTTATTGTAGAGATGAGGTCTCACCAAGTTGCCCAGGCTGGTCGTGAACTCCTGGGCTCAGGCAATCCTCTTGTCTCCGCCTCCCAAAGTGCTGGTATTACAGGCATGAGCCACCATACCAGGCACCCTTCAACTGCTTTTGATATCCTCAGAGGAATGTTGTGGGGGATTAGTGAAAATGGGAAGGGCACTGGGTTAAAGTATATTCAAAGTGGGTTCTTGAGGGCCAAGAAATTTGAGGAACTCTGAGGTGGATAGTGCCTGGAATGATTGTAGGGGGAAGGCTGGAGCTGGGAAGGGGTGTGGCCTTAGGTTATCTGAGTTTGGGAGTACTCAGGAAGCCTTTTGGAGGTTACCTGGGAGGCGGTTGATTCAGAAGAGTCTCCAAGGTCAGTCAGTCGGTAGTGCAGGTCATCCCAGCGGCCATAGGCAAGGTCCAGCCCCCCCAAGAAGGCCACTACTTGGTCTACTACCAGCAGCTTCTCATGATGGGCCCACAACGTGACCTGGTCTGGATGGCGCATCACCTGGAGCAGGTGTGGAGGAGTTCATGGGGGTGGGTTTAGGTGAGGGAATGGAAAGATAGGAGGATGAGAGACCATTGCGGGTTGGAAAAGCATGGTGAGGAGAGCTGCAGTATGGGAGGAGTTTCTGAGGCCAGAAAGTCACCTTTATGTTGGGATGCAGCAGCATCAGAGCCCTCTTGCTATAGCCACTGTTGATGCCCAAGGCCAATTCCACTTCTTTAAAGAGCAGTATGGATACACGAACACCCTCCTCCTGGTGGTGAGTGGGGGAATCAGATCCTAGTGCTCTCCCAGAATGGCTCCTTTCTTTTTTTTGAGTCAGAGTCCCCCAGGCTGGAGTGCAGTGGCACACTCACGGCCACCCCAGCGTCGACCTGCTGGGCTCAGGTGATCCTTCCACCTCAGCCTTCCAAGTAGACAGAACTACAGGTGTGTGCTACCACGCCCAGCTAATTTTTTTTTTAGTTGGAGTCTTACTCCATCACCCAGGCCAGAGTGCAGTGGCTCTCTCACGGCCACCCCAGTGTCGACCAGCTGGGCTCCGGTGATCCTTCTGCCTCAGTCTTCCAAGTAGCTGGAACTATAGGCACGCACTACCATATCTGGTTGATTTTTAAAAAGTTTGTTGTAGAGATGAGGTCTCATCAAGGTGCCCAGGCTGTTCTCAATCCCGTGGGCTCAGGCAATCCCCTCACCGCGGCCTCCCAAAGTGCTGGGATTACAGGCCTGAACCACCAAGCCCGGCCTGCCCCTTTCTTTCCACCCTCCTCAAACCCTTCCACATACTCAGGACTCCTGTGTTTCCCTCCACCTTGCCTGGAGATCCTGGAGGCTCTGCCACATACACCCTGCTTTGCTGCTTGCAGCAATTTTAGATTAAATTTCATGTGTCTACTCACCCACTTATCCACCACACATCTACCCACTTACCCTTCAACATCTACCCATCCATCTTCCTAATCATTTACTCAATCCCTTATCTATCGTCTATCATCCATCCACCTACCCTCCTATCCTTCCACCTTTCCAACTTCCATCCTTGCATCCATCTCTCTTTCCAACATCTATCCATCCACTTACCCACCACCCTCCATCATCTGTGTATCTTTCCTCCCATCCATCAACATCCACAGATGCCACCTACATGACAGGCATTGTGCCTTGCAATGGAACTGGTGACATTAATTAGCCCAGTGAGGGAGACAGACATGTACACTTCAAGGTAACACAATAAAGTATTATGGCTATGGGGAGGGAATCCTCTGCCAGGTGGAGGGAAACATGAAGAAGAAGCTATCAGTTCTCTGCAGGAAGAGGGAGAGGGAGAAGGTGATGTCTAATAGGCATTGAGCCAGGATGGGCATGTTTCCCTCCCCTGAAGCCTCAGATTCCCTAGCCTCTCCCATGCTGCAGTCCTTCTTTTTTTTTTTGAGTTGGAGTCTCACGCTGTCGCCCAGACTGGAGTGCAGTGGCCGCTCCCGGCCACTGCAGCCTCGCCCTGCTAGGCTTCGACAATCCTTCCACCTCAGCCTTCCAAGTAGCTGGAACTATAGGCGTGTGATACCACACCTGGCTAATTTTTTTTTTTTTTTTTTATTGTAGAGATGAGGTCTCGCCAAGTTGCCGGGCGGGTCTCGAACCCACAGGCTCAGGCAATCCATTCACCTCAGCCTCTCAAGGCGCGGGATTACAGGCTGAGCCACCAAGCCCGGCTTGCAGTCCTTCTAATCAACCTCTACCCACAGGCAAGCTCCCTGTCCCTCCCCTGTGGCCTGACCACTCTCCTTACCGCCTTCCTCTTAAGCATAATGTCCAGTCTCCAGTCATCTGAGTGGGCCGGACGCTTCAAGTAAACCTCAGGACTCAACCTGGGATACAGGGGAGGGGAGAAGAAGCAAGCTAGGCCCTAACCTGTCATGCCTCCCCTTCTCCTCCCTCTTCTGACCCGTACACTGAACTGCCCCATCTTGTCCCTAAAGGTGCTTATCCTGCCCCTTCTTGCTTGGGCCTTTCCCCACTCACCACCAGTCTGTGATGAAAATCTCCTCTCGAGCACGTAAGATGGCATCTGCCACAGCAGCAAAGTAACCTGCCCCATTCACAAACCTGGGGGGAGGCCAAGCCAAGGAGGTCAGGGAAGTCAGAAGCCAGAAAACTCTGGAGAGTGAAGACCAGAGGACAGTCATGGGTCAGAGGTGACAGCAGGGTCAAAGATAAAGAATGATTAGAGAGGACAGACAGTGTCAGATATATCAAAGTGGGGTTTGCCGATAAGCCCTACATAAAAATAAAAATTACAAAAGACACAATAAGCCGGGCTCGGTGGCTCAGCCTGTAATCGCGCTTTGGGAGACTGAGGTGAGTGGATTGCCTGAGCCTGCGGTTTCGTAACCTGCCTGGGCAACTTGGTGAGACCTCATCTCTACAATAAGTCAAAAATTAGCCGGGCGTGGTAGCGCACGCCTGTAGTTCTAGCTACTTGGAAGGCTGAGGCAGAAGGATCGTTGGAGCCTAGCAGGTTGAGGCTGCAGTGGCCGAGAGCGGCCACTGCGCTCCAGTCTGGGTGACAGAGTGAGACTCCAACTCAAAAAAAAAACGACACAATAAACTAAAGACATTGACTAAAGACTGGGAGGATTAATACATAAAGAACACCAACAAATCAATAAGAAAAATACATATAAGCAAACTGAAAAATTGAGAACTGATAGTTCACAGAGAAAATTTAAATGGTCAGTCTTAGGAAATGATGGTCAGTTTCACTTATAAACAAGAAACTTGAAATTAAAATGAAATCACATTTTTTTGGAAATCCACTAGATTGACAAAAATTAAAATTATTGGTAACATTAAATATTAGCATATGAGAAAGTGGGTATTCTCATAGACTATGAGCGTATATACTGGTTATATAGGCCTTTTAGAAGAAACTTAGTATCTATCAAAATATTAGATGCACATACCTTTCAATATCATTAAACACAGAGGAATTCTATTTCTAAGAATACATCCTATAAAATGATCAGGCAAAGACTGTGTTCAATGCAGCAATGTTTGTAAGAGTGAAAAATGGGGGCCGGGCTCGGTGGCTCAGCCTGTAATCCCAGCACTTTGGGAGGCCGAGGTGAGCGGATTGCCTGAGCCCGCGGGTTTGAGACCCGCCTGGGCAGCGAGACCTCATCTCTACAATAAATCAAAAAATCAGCCGGACGTGGTAGCGCACGCCTGTAATTCCGGCTACTCGGAAGGCTGAGGCGGAAGGATCGCCGGAACCCAGCAGGTCGAGGCTGCGGTGGCCGGGAGCGGCCACTGCACTCCAGTCTGGGTGACAGAGTGAGACTCCAACTCAAAAAAAAAAGAAAAATGGGTAATAACCTCAATGTCTAATCTCTAACACATGTATTATGTGAAAAAAATAAGTCACAAAAGAGGGTGCATGATCTCACTTATGTTAAAGCAAAAAGTAACATATGTGCTTGCATGTATGAAAATATACAGAAAAAGGCTAGGCATGGTGGCTCATGCCTGCAATCCCACCACTTTGGGAGGCTGAGGTAGGAGGATTGCTTGAGCCCAGGAGTTCAGGACCAGCCTGCACAACACAGCAAGACCTCATCTCTGAAAGAAAATATGAAAAAAAGATCTAGGAGGATAAATAGGAAACTATTACCAAGGTTACTTCTGTGAAGAGAAATGGAATTGTCAGGAAGGGGTGCAGGGAAGGCATAAGACGAGTAAAATGTAGTGTGATGAGTAAAAACTTTTACTTTTTACTTAATGTGTTACTGGATTGTTTGACTTTTAAATAACTGACAGCTTTGTTAATCTGGGTCTTGACCCAGATTGCCTAGATTTGAATGCTGGTTCCCCGTTTACAAGGTGTGTGACCTTGGGCAAATTATTTAACTTCTCCTTGCCTCAGTTTTCTCATATGCAAAATGGAGATAATTACTGTACCTCTCTCATAAAGTTGAGGATCCAGTAAGTTAATACATGTAAAACAGTTCCTGGCACATAGTAAATGCTACATAAGTATTAGCTATTTTTAGTCATTATATATATTAAAAAAAAAATCTCAACAGCACTTCCGGGAAAAAAATTCTTCCTATGACTTCCCTCTGCCTGTGATAAAGTTCACCCTCCTCAGCTTGGCCCACTGGACCCTGCAAAAGAGTCCCGGACTCTTCTCTGACTACCCCTTCTCACTGCAACAATTATCTGTCCTGGTGGCTCCCAAACACTCTGGGCTACTTCAATCTTCACTGCCTGGACTGTTCTGCACTTTCTTCACCTTGCTAAAGCAAACCTCAGGGTTGCCACTTCCTGAAAAAAGCCTATCCTGACATCCCCACGCTGGTGCAGATGCTCCCCCTCTGTGCTGGTTACCCCGTATCCGTCACTGCTATGGTAAGTTCACATTGTTTCATGATTAGACCACCAACTTCCCTAACCCACAGAAGCCTGACTTATTGCCAGCACTGGACTGGCACATAGTAGGTAATTAGAAGATGTTTATCAAATGGAGGAATAAATCAGAGAGGTTTCAGGAGATCATAGAGGTCAGAGAGGGTCCGTTGGGTAAAGGAGGTTTAAAAGGCCATCAGATGTCAGAGAGGTCAAGAATCAGAGGAGATTACCAAGTTTGGGGATCAGAGGAAAACCAGAGATCAATGTGGTTAAGGAGGTTGAGGGCCAAGGAGATTAGAGAAGTTGGAGGGGGTCATTGAGGTCAAAAGGGATCAGAGGAGATAAAAGAGAGGATCAAAAACTCAAAGAATATCAAGGAAATCAAGGAAGGCCACAGACAAGCTCAGAAGGGACATCAATGTCTCACCACCGGGCCAATGTCCCAGGTCGGGGCGGGGCATAGCTGTCATGCCGGTGCAGCTGCACAAAGTCTCTGCCTGGGCCCTGTGCCAGCTCGGTAATTTCCTGGCTCCACCACCGTGCCTGCCGGTAGCTGCTGCACTTGAGAATCAGGGACCTGGACAGGAACAATGAGATGGTTCCTCACCTTTCACCCCTATGGCTTTGCCCAGAGACCATCCTTTTGGCTATTACTTTTCCCAATTCCTCCTTAGTCCCTAATCATGACTCTATAGGGACAGGGCATATATTTGCCTTATTCACAGATGGACTGCCAGCAACTAGTATTGCACCAGGCACTCAGGTTTGTTGAATGAATAAGTGAATGTTTGGATTCCTTTTCTTTTATATCAGGAGCTCTGCCCCAGGCTTATATTAACCCCCTTTCTCTGGGCTCAGACTCTAAGAGTAGTCCCAAGCATCCCTGGTTCAAAACTATGGCCAGATCCAGTGGGATGGAAAAGTCTTCCTCTCTCCTATGGTCTCTCCTACCCAACTCTCCTCAGGGCTGTGGGCTGGTTCTCTGCTCCTCACCAGGTGTCTCTCACACCAGGGAGGCCTTACCTGTGGGAGGTGTCAATCCGCACCCCGTATCGTGTCTCTGTGCTCCTTTTCCCCACCTGCACCTCAAAGCCAGGGTCGAAGAGCTGAACAAATGAGATGGTGCCAGTCTCAAGGCATATGTACAGCAGGAAGGAGTCCTTCACCACCAGCCACCTGGAACAGAAGGGCTCCATGTGTTCCTCCCTGCCCTCAAGGTCTCCTTCCTCACCTCCACCCACTGCCCAGCTGCTCAGGCCCCAGTCCTCACCTCTTGGACCAGCGATAACACACTTGGTCTCGGCCACAGCAGGTGAGGCCAGGAACACGGTGGCCTCCTGAGCGCTTCCGGATCACCCCCTCCCTGTGGGGACGATCAGGAAAGGATGCTGAATGAGGATTTCACACCCCCATCCCATCCTGCACTACTTGCCCCATTCCCACCCAGGGAGAAATTGAAAATGATGTCTATAGATGCCTGGGTATATGGTATCAGACACTCACAGTCCTTTGGGGCCCAGGTCTGGGATAAAGGATAGCTGACTGACTTCCAGGAACTCTGTCTGCAGAGGAAAACAAGAGCTCAGAAGAGAAATCTGGCTTTCAGGCTGTCAGACCCTGCCATCCCTGGCCCTCTGCCCCCTTGTGGGTCTGATTATCCTGCTCCACCTCAAAAGACCCATTGTCCAGTCCCTGGCCCTTACCATGGCATGGTAGTTGCGGTAGAAAGACATGGTCAGGAGGCGGTTGAGATAATTCTCCAGGTACTTCTGAAGTGAGGATGGAAAAGAGAGAGACAGATGGACCAGACCATTTACACATCAAATGCCTTCCCAGAGGACCTAGGGTCTGGTCGTACCTGTTTGCTGGCTGCATGTCTGGTGGAGCCCTCAGGACCTGCTCGGGGCAGAGAGGGCATCTCTCTGTTGGCTGCCTCTCGGGCTGGAGAATAGGCAACAGCAAAGCTGTGGAAGGGATGAGGTGAGGGTCGGGTAAGATCTGGAAGACTGGGTACCTGGGTCTTAAAACACTAGAAGAGAGGAGAAGGGAGGAGGAAACCTAGAGGCTGGCAGAAGGAAGGTCCCCTTCCCTGGGAATGGAAACTAGAGAAGAGGGAGGCAGCCAACGGCATTTTGGGCATCCAGCCCGGCTGAAATACTGGCACAGAACTGAGCAGGGAAAGTTTCTAGTAACTGGAGTCAGAAGAGGGGACCCAGTGGCCAAAGTTGGGGGGAGGAAAATGCCTGGGGGAGGAATGGTTGTGGACTGGGGATGAGACAGGCAGAAAGGAGGGTGAGGGGCACCTGTCCTTCACAGGAAGCAGTCTGGTCCCCCTCACCGAGCCAGAGGAAGCAGACTCATCAAGACTTTGTGTCTTAGGAGGTCCCGATGCAGCTCCTGGAAATGACGGAACTTCTTCTTGGTTGTCCAGGTAAAGTCGCCATGAGTCAAGCGAACAGAATAGAGAGTGCTGGTTCCTACCTGGAGGTGTGAGGAACTGAATTGATCTCCCGTGATTGGGTCCCAGTCTCCAACTCTGGCCAGCCCTCCCTTTACTACCCCCCACCCCACCCTGTGCCAGCCCAGCCACCTTGGATCCACTGGTGTATCTTTCAGTGCCCACCACCTGGGCTGTGACAGGGACCCCAGGAGCGAACACCAAGGGGTGCGCTTTCAGAGGCTGAAGGTTATAGATGGCCAGAAACGGGTGCATCCGGTCAGCTGGGAGGAAAGAAAGCCAAGGAGTATAGACCCCAGGAGGCCCTAGTCCCCTCCCTCCCCTCCCTGAGGGTCATCCATACTCCCTGTGTACCTGGGTCCTCTCCCTCCCTCAGAGTGTCCACCTCATCGGATTCCATCTGTAACTGGCTGGAGTCCAGGTCATCCCCAGTAGGGAAGAGGCTTTCGGGGGTCGCCGTCATCCTAAGAATATGGGTAAGCCTCAGGGAGGCGATCTGCCTTGCAGAACCTGTCCCCCATCCTAACCCCAAGTCCTCCGTCTCCCTCGGGTCCTTATCCTACCCTCCCACCTCGCTCCCATTGACTCCCAAACTCTCTGATCACAGCCCCATCAGTCTGCAGCGCCCCGTCGAACCCCCTGTAACCTCCATCTCCTACCTCGGTCTTTCATCCAGAATCCCTCAGTCCCGCCCTCCTCCCATCCGGTAACCAGAGCTCGGGGGAACACCCAGTCAGGCCCGGATGGTCCTAAACTGGGGCATCGCAGAAGCCGGAGGAAGAGGCCCCGGTGTGCAGAGGGTGCGGGGCTGCTGGGGTTCAGGCCAGGCCAGGCCGGCTGGGCGCAGGGGTCGCGGCGGGGATGAGGAAGTAACGCGCTCCCCGCCCGGGAGAAAAGCCCCAAAATTTAGTTTACGGCTGAGTCAGGAGGGCCCGCACCCGGTCCTGTCCCCGAACCCGGTCTTGTCCCCGCCCGATTTCCGGGTCCTGGGACCTCCGCGGCGTCCCTTCCCCGTCCCCCTCACCCTAGCAGCCGGCGCCGGC